TCTCTCTCTCTCTCTCTCTCTCTCTGTCTCTCACTCTCTCTCAAGATAAATAAACTTTAAAAAAAGGAACCAGCTCAGCAGCCAATGCATGTAGTACCCTGGTCCTGTTAGTGTCCCCTCAGTGTTGAAGAGAAGTGAAGAGATGGGAAGGAGGAGGAGATCCCAGGCACTCCGATTTTTTTTAAGACTCTGCCCAATGTTCTCCTCCCCCCTCCTTCACTGCTGCCTTGGAACCTCACCATTATTTACTCTTTTGAAATAATATGGCAGTAATATGGTGAAAAGTACACAGAATTTGTAGTCAAGCTTTCTGGTATGACCATGTTTGGGTGCATTGCCTGGCTGCCCTAGGGCTCAGTTTTCTGTGTAAAAAATGGAGATGGTAAAAATGGTGGTTGTAAAGGTAAAAGTGGGATAAATTGTGTACAGTGCCAAGCAGAGGGCCCATTATTAAAAGGTATTCTTAGATATTAAGGACATTAACAGATCCTGGAGCACCTGCAAACACTGTTTGGAGGAAGAACCATGAGCCTTCAGTTATGGCCTGATCCTTTTTTATTTGGCACATTAGTAGAGAAAACCAGCTCAGAAAGATAATTGTATTAAAGGAAAGGGGTGGAGAAGTAGTGAGGAAGGTGGGAACTCTTCCGAGGCCTGCAATACTGGTCCTGGAATAAGGCACGCTCTCAGCGCCTTGCAGAGCTGGGTGCTATAAGAAGCAAAGCAAATGCGTGTGCCAAGAACTGAAGGAAGGAGCCCGTGCAGCCTAAGCATTCTTGGATGCACTAAGCACTTGGCAGGTTTATACACTTGCACTCTGACATGGGTTCATTACTAAATATCTGAAGTCGTTGGAGATTTTTCAAGACGCAGGTTGGATTTCTTGCAATGTGCATCTGAGCACCCGGACTGCTCTGCAAACCTAACTACCGCTCCCTCCAGAATGCACGGTGGGATCTGATCGCAAAAACCCAGTGCAAGCATCCTCCAAGCTAATCGTTTCGTCTTAATCACTAGCCAGATACGCAGGCTTTGAGTGTGAATGGAACGGAACCAGACAGTCCTATCCATCATTCACCAAGTTCTAGGAGGGGTATGCCGCTCTCAGAGCCCAACGCAGGATAAACTAACAACTTCGCTTCAGTGTGCTTGGGCTGCTGAGGGCTCCGCGCTTTCCCCAACCACCCCTCTCTTTTTCCCTGAGGAAGCAAGGCACACTGCGTCCTCTGCAGTCTGGGGAACATCGAAGGTTGAGCGGAGGAATATGTTACAAACATTTCGCCGCGAACTCCTGGACCGAGAGTGAAGTTTTGCCTCTCGCCACCAAAAACTGCGTTCTCGATACAGCACAGCCCCATCCTCCAATCAGATATTTCGTCCGAGTTGGGAGTAGTCAGTTAAACTGCAAGTTGGAGCCACGGCTCCCCACACAAGCATGCCCACTACCAGCACCACTCTGACAAACACTCGCCCTATTTTACTAACACGCCCTGGCAGCGAGCGCGCCCCCGTCAGGTCCCACTGACAGCAACTAGAGGTAACGTGAACGCTAATAGAGGACCTCTAACTGACTCGAGTGTATACACTTTGAACCTGCTGGGGGCAACATACCCCCTATATAAGGCGCGCCAGCCTCAGACTCGGCGCCTGAAGAGGTCCGGGAGCCAGAAGTACACCCCACCGGGCAGTTGGTCCCAGCTCCTGACGCCACCCAGGGTTCGCCGCGGACCCCAGGAAAAAGTCTATGTATGCGCTGGGCTTCATCGACAGTACTTTGGACATGGAGAGTAATTTCGGGTGCAGCCACTACGACGTGGGCTTCCGCAGCCTGGGGGGCGGTAGGGAGGAGGAAGAACAGAATGGTCAGTGCCTAGACGGGGACAGGTGCTTTGGCAAACTCCAGGGGAGGAACTTTCCCTGGGAGGGGTGGGTGCGCGGGACGCTGCGAGGCTGTCGCCACTATCTTTCATCGTGACCCCATGGCCCCTCCAGCTCACGTACGGTGGGCCCGTACCCTACGGTCTCTCTTTTGCTTTCGTCCTTTCCCAAAGACGAAGCCTACCTTGGCCTCGTTGCTTTTAAGTGGAAGAGAGGAGAATACAGCGTCCGAACCTAAGTGCGGAGCGGCTGCAGTAAACTACGTTGGCATGAGAGAGCCGAACCCCTTCGACGACGAAAACCTGGAGGGCGGCTTTGGTGGCGGCTTGGCGCCCCCGCAGCAGCTGGAGGAGCCGCCCCCCCCGGCTGCGGTGGGGCCACTGATCGCTGAGAGGAAGCAGCGCCGCTGCCGCACCGCGTTCACCCAGTTGCAGCTGCAGGAACTGGAGGACATTTTCCATCGCGTTCAATACCCCGACGTGTTCACGCGGTAAGTGGTTTGTTACGCTAGCGCGCAGTTCTCCAGGGGGCTCGGGCCCATCCCGGGGAGTGTTAGGCTCTTTCCCCGGACCCTCCCAAGCCAAAAGCCGCTTAGGGGGGTTGAGGACGCCAGGGTCCGTCCTTGATCTCAAGGGTTGGGTCAGTGCTTCCAGAGAGCTTGCTAGGGTGAAGCAAGAGAGGGTCGGATTGATCGTGCTTTTATTTAAAATTTGGATAATTTGTTCATGAGTCTTTTGCATTAATTTTTATATTTTAAATGTTGCATTAAAATATTTATCGTGATTGCTCAGTTTTTTTCAAGCACTTTAAGTTTTGCGCACCAGGCGAGCACCTCGCTTTCCTCACCCTAGTCTCGGTCCTGCCACGTGGAGCGCTGTGCTAAGGCTTCACAGTTTCGAGCGTTTAAAAGCCAGCGAGGTTTTCCCTTCAATTTGCCTTCCGTGGAGCCCTTGTAGTGGGTCCCGATCCCGGTAGTGTATGAAGGGGCAGGCCTATTTGGGGCCGGCAGGAATGGGGGACCAGGATGAGTCGGTGTGCGGTTTAGGGGCCTTCTTTCTGGTTCTGCTGCATTCAGCCTTCTCCCGCCAAAGAGCACAGAAAGAATTTCCCTTGAGCCGATGGTTTGGAGTTCCTCCTTGAGAGTTCCCCTCCGCGTTTACAATAAACTGTGGAAATACTCTGGTTCAAAACTCCGCTTTAAAGGCTTTGGCGTTTTATGTATTTTCACGGAGGGAAAGATTCCTTTCCCAAGGAAAGATTTCCAGGATTATTCTCTGCTGTTCCACAAACAGAAAAATCGGTGGAGACATATTTAACTAACAAACACACTACCAGGGACTTTCATATATATTCCCTTTTTCTATCTTATTTAGTACAGGTAAGTTGTCCGTGGGAAAACTCCCTAAAGCAAGCCTCAAGCTGTGTTATGGAAAACTTCACTGGGAGGGGAGATAGAAATAATGTGTGTGATATATTTATTTTAAATACTGAACATTTGCAATTTTCCTCCCTCAGAGAAGAGATCGCAGGACGTCTGAATTTGACTGAAGCCAAAGTGCAGGTCAGTAAATCTTAAAAGAGCACATGGCAGGGCAGCCATTTAAAACATAGTTGAGATTTTGTCCTGGATATTCTGAAGTTGGTGTGTTAGTTGTCTTTCCATGTTTAATAAATAAGTTTTGAACATTGAGTGCCTTGGGGGTGGGAAATGGGATAAGCTTCTGGAAATTGCCCATTACCAGAGGAAATATGATTTCCTAAAGGAAAAAAAATAGAGCACACTTCTCCCCACACACACTTTTTTCCCAATAAAGTTCACCTCCTTTTACACTGGTATCTTTCAGGAAGAATGTTAGTCTTCCCTAAAGGAATATTTCTATGTATAATCATGTTGGGGCTTAATCCTACCTGGGAAGTATACAAATTAATGCACTGAAGAGCTAGATTATAAGAAGGTTCAACAGTACTAAATTATTTGAAATATTTAAAACCAGGCATAAGCTCTTGGCTAAATCAGTGAATTTATAAGTATTCAGACATTGGGGTGAAGGAGTAATTCACAGACAGAACACAGTGCATGAGTAGCATGTTTAGTTAAACTGAAACTGGAGTGGGAGGGTAGCTTAAAATTCCAAGTGCCTGGTCCTTCTGCCATTTTTAAGTGTTTTGTAAAGCAGCATAGAAAATGAAAGCCTTAAATTTTAATTTTTTTGGAAGACTTTGATATCAGCCCCAAAACATGGCTAAAATGTTGGGATTTTGTTAGTAATAGGGAAAGGTTTGCAAACTTTGGAAAATTGTCTTAAAGAATTGAACCAAAAAAGACAACAATTTTTAATAAAGTTCCACTGACCTAAGAAGGGGTGAAAGTTTAGGGGAGTACTGTATACATTCAAATATATGCATTGCAGATGCCTCACAAATTCAACTATATGAAACTACCAAGTGTGTAAATGAATATTCTCTTGAGGAACTTTTAACATCTACTAATTTTTCTTTCCTTTTGGTGACATTATTTTGAAAAGGTGGGGTTTTCTGGAATTTGATTTTCAGGGTGCTCTCACTTCAGACCAGATTCTTACATGTGTAAATTTAAATACTTTTCAGGAAATTAATATTAATTTGTTGGTCACGGGATCAAATGGTAACTGTTTGAGGTCATAGAAAATCATAGTTACATCAAAGAAGTATGTGCCCCCTCAAGGTAATCTCAGAGGAAAAGAAGAACAAAGTTTGCTAAGTAGATTTTCCCCCTCCCTGGTTGCCTTCTTTTTGGATTTCTGAAGGGGAAATGAGCCAGAAAACCCAAAAAAGGAAAAACACTATGTTCTCATATATTTTCAAGCTCTGCAGCATGAATTTCCCCCAAGAAACTTAATAGATGCTTCCCCTCACCTTTTGCAAATATAGTAGACCTCTTTATGAAACCAGTATTGGGAATATGGATCTAATATTGGCCCATACCAAAATTTGCCAGATTTTGGTTACATTTAGGGAGATTTGACCACTGATATATTTGAATCCCTCCAAAATGAACTCTACTATACTGGCTTTCTTCAGACTATATATTCATGCAGCAAAAGGACCCCAAATCCTAAGATGGGAAAGAGAAAAGGTGACAGCAGACAGAGAGAAAAGGCCCTTTGTCTCAATTAAATAATATTGCAGTTTGGGAACTTCCGAAAGGATTAAATACAATAAAAACCCTATTAACTAGTATACCAAGAGAACAGTAAAGTCTAAGTGACAGCTTTTTTTGTCTGTTGGTTTGTTAATATTTGGCAAATACTCAGGGAGGAGCCTCTTTTGTGGCCCCTACCCCCACATTGCTGTGGAACATTTTCCTAAAATGCATAATTGGACCTTCCTGCCTTAGGAATGAGTGATGGGATTGGAGTCTCCTACTTAAGGAATGGAGCTGGCAGGGCCAAACATGCCTCACCCCTCTGAGAAACAGCAGCTTCTGTCCAGGATCCTAAAACTATAGCTAGGGCTGAATGACCTAACTTTCTCCTGAGCCCAGGAAGGTCTGGAGGGTAAGGCAGATGGGAGCGTGCATAGTTGACAGTAGTGACAATGGGGTGCCCAATCTCTTATTTGGGGAAAAGGATTTTGAGTTTAGTGAATTTGGATTCAATTAGGTTAAACTTTCCTTAACACTAAAAGCTAAACTACCAAGGCAGCGTCCGGGGCTTCAGCAACTCTCCTATCCCAGCAGTCCCTGAGACCCCATGATCAGGCCTCTTTTGACATACCACATGTTTAATTCTTAGGAGGTTTAGGAGAATGATCCCTTAAATATCACTACAGGAAACTTTTCTGGCTAAAACTGCAATGTCCTCCTAGCGGATTAGTTACTTTAGACTGCAGATGGGTTTTTTGAAAACAGGGTCATTCCTGTCCATATAATTTTAATCAGGTCCTCCTTTATACCATGCTCAGCTTCCCCCATAACCAGGGTGACACTACCCCTGGTGAGGAGGGGGTGAAGCAACCAGACAGCTGACGGTCTAATGTCCCTTTACCCCATTGCCAGGCATGTGCATTAATGTTGGAGAACCAGTGCAATTTATCAGTTAGATCTGCATCCGAGACCTGGGGGGAAAACATGAAAGAATACTAAAAATTAGAAGAGAGACAAATCAATGTGCCCAAGTCTGGACTAGCCATGGGGTTAGCTGAGAGGAGGTATGCAGTTTACTTTCCCAAGATACGTTAGCAGTAAGGAAATGGCTTCTCCCACTGCAGTTTACAAGTTCAGTGGCAGCATTGCATGTTGTCGTGTTTTCTATTATGACATTAACTGTTCAGTGTACTAAACCAATCCCTTTTTTTCCCTCTGATTGAAGGTTTGGTTTCAAAACAGAAGGGCCAAGTGGAGAAGACACCAGAGGGCAATGATGCTCAGAAATGTGGCCCCTGTTGCCTTGGGCCCTCCTGTGGGAGTAATCTTTGATGGGCCCTATCATGCAATCCCTGTTCTGGACCCGGCATGGAGATATGTTCCTCTAGTGCCTCGGGGCCTTATGCCTCCTGGGCCACCCCTACACCCTGGGCCTCCTGGGCCACCTCTGTCCCCCGGGCCACCCATGATACCTATGCCACCCCCGCCACCTGTGCCTCCCTTTGCACTGTCCCCCGTAGGGGTGGCATGGGCCCATGTCATCAATGGTTATTTCACAGGTCCCATTTTCTAAAGTATGGTCTTTGTGACAATTTTTCCAAAGTGTTTTTTTCTGCCAGATATAAATCATGCGTAGCGCAATATTGAGTAATTCTTCAAATACATGTTAAATGAATTGAATAACTGAACAAAGTTAGTGCCTGTTGTTCTTGTAGAGTACCTTTTCAATAAAGCATTTTCAATAAAGTTTCAAATAAGTAATATATTGGTTTTGAGTGCCAAATGAGAGAAGTAGGGTATTTATGCAAATTATAAGGAAATAGCATTCAAACAGAATGTCAAATAGGTCTCCTTCATAACATAATAGCCCTGAGTTACCATCAATAGGCCATGCACATCACAATTTTCCAAGTGCCCATGCTGGTTTACACTGACCACATGTGCTCCTTCCACATCTGTCCCCTCCCCAACAATCCTCAGCCCCACTCTGCCCTGTTTGGAGCACATCCCTGTGCAAGATGAGAAGGGGTGCGTCTCTAGTGAGAGAACAGTGTGTTTCCAGGCAGGGCCATGTTCCATTCATGTCAGGGAATTCAACAGCCATGGACTCTAACGGAATCTTCCTAAGAGGCTACTCAGGGCTGTAAGGGACTGTGGCAGCCAAACTCCAAATTCTGTTCACTGCTCTCCATTTTGTGGAAGTCATAGGGAAATATGAATCATTCTGGTTCACAGACACAAGAAGGAGTTCGGCTAAGGTCAGAAAGGGGCTGTTCTCTGTTTTCTTATCCCCATCCCCAGCCTAAGAGAGCCTATTATAGTTTCCCCAGCTCAGAAGCAGTCACATCTTGAACTATATTTTGTCACCTTCAACATCCAATAAATGGACCCCTGAACAATGCTCTGGAATTAGCACTCACTGAAAAGAAGCACACCTTTGCTTTGTTCATGCTTACTTCATGCAAAACTGCCAGGGGAGAAAACAAAAACCAAAATGGAAGGGAGGAGGAGGCTAGGCCCACTATTCCTAAAACATCACTTTCTTTTCAGTAGAACTTTTGCTTTTCATCAATCCCTATCAGTATATGGTCATTTTACGACCAGTCATGAAATGATTCTAGTGACTTCAGATAAGGGTATCACAGTGACACCAGAATTTCATGGGAGGTGGAGTGGGGAGAGAGGAGGTCCCAAAGACAGGTTTTGCAGTAGTTCCACATTCCTAGCTTGAAGTGAGGCTTTATTTTCATGTGAAAACATGATTTTTGCGGTGTTGTCCTGTCCAGTGTTCATTCCTTCCCTCCTTTCACACGTACAGATGGCAAAGGTCAGCAAAGCAGTTGTATCTAATATAGGACTTCAGCAGTGAGGAGGAGGTGATCAGGAAGGAAGAACATCCAGGAATGCATCTGCATGCTTTACCAGGTAATTTTGAAACACAACCATTCTTATCTCCCATCATTGACCACTTTCCTTCTTGTTAAAACATCAGGTCCCTGAATGTTGTAAGTCTTGGAAATACAGGGTCTATACTAATAAAAGTTCAAGGACCCCATCCAGCCCTGCCATCCTAAGATTCAAAGTCAAACACTACCCAGAACACAAATCCTGCAGTTAATTCTCATATGCAGTCTGACCCACACAAACATAGAATGTTTTTGTTTTTTTTTTGACTCAGGTTGCCTGAGAAGGTGAACATCCTTTCCCATAAGTAGGTGGGATATTCAAGAGTAATATATACTATTTTTAAAATTATATCTACTTCTTTCAAATGCCAGATGGTTTAAGGAAGGGAGGTGGGATGTGAACAGAGGAAATAGACAAAACATTTCTGCAGATAATAGGTTCCCCTGGTCTAGGTTTTAAAAGGGAGAGGCCTTTTAAAATAATCCCACAAAGAACATTACTCTTTGAAAGTGCATTTCAAATATCCCTAAAGCATAGATAAATTAATTTATTCTAATATAAGGAAATTATTTTGGTAAAAAATCTTTAGAAAATGGCCATTAGCAAATAGGTTTATCTGAGATAGATGGTCTTTATAGATTGCAATTTGGGCTGAACTGTAAAAATCACAATTTCAGGAGGAGTACAGGAGGTTCAGCATTTTACAGTAATAATTATGGATATGCTTTTTCTAAAGTTGTTTTGTATTGAAGACTACATGACAGGGAGCTTTCACAAGAGTAACTTTCATGGTCAAATAGAACAAGATATGAAGTATTTGGGGGTAAAATAAAGTCTTTTTTTTTTTTAATTTGAGAGAGAGCATGCACATGAATGGAGGGGAGGGGCAGAGGGAGAGAGAGAATCCCAAACAGGCTCCATGCTTGAGGCAGAGCTGTATCTCACAACCCCAGGATCATAACGTGAGCTGAAATCAAGAGTTGATTGCTCAACCAACTGAGCCACCCAAGCTCCCTGGCAATAAAGCCTTTTTGACTAAAACTAAATTTATGTAACCTGGATCTTGTTTCAAACAAATATAGTCAGAACCTTGGAGATCTAACTGGGAGGTGCCTGAGAATCAAAATCCCAGCCATTACTGGTAAGACAAGTAGGGGAAAAAGGCAAGGAAGGAAAGGACTAGAAATAATTCTTTAGCTGAGCATACAAGGATTCTCCCTTGAAATGGGTGTGAGAAGTGACTTTTTAAACAAAGAGAAGAACTACTATAAAAACATAAAAAAAATAGGGGAGCCTGGGTGGCTCAGTCCGTTAAGCATCCGACTTTGGCTCAGGTCATGATCTCGCCATTTGTGAGTACGAGCCCTGCATCGGGCTCTGTGCTGACGAGCCTGGAGCCTGCTTCAGATTCCACCTCTCCTCCTCTCTGTGCCCCTCCCATGTTCATGCTCTGTCTCTCAATAATAAATAAACATTGTTAAAAAAAATTTTTTTTTAAAAGTAAAAAAATAAAGGAATAGAGTTTGATCAAAGTTGTTTTCAAAAGAATAATCATTTGCCTGAATTCAGATCATGGGGTTTTATACCTAAAATTGGACATGCTCTGAGAACATATGGATATACGTGTTTTCCCACCCAGTTTGGTGCTGGTGTGACTCTAGGAATTGGTGAAAATATGAAAATAAAATAATGGTGTACAATAATAGAGTTATTCCCTGAATCTTTTGTTTGGTAAATTCAACTTTGTCTAATTGGAATCCCATAGCTCATAAACTGGGGTTCTCAGACCTTGAATGGACACCTGCTGGAGGCAGATGATATCATAAAACAACCCTTATCACACACTCTTCTTTCTGAGAATGCTGATCAAAATTATTCTTATTGGTAACTTTTCTGATGTTCCCTCCCACTTAGTCAAGGTGATAGGATGTCCCAAAGAGAATGAGCCCTTGCCTCAGACAGCTCCTTAGCTGTCTTAGCAGGCACTTTTTCATTTTCCTTCAAAGTATTTTCACACAAGATCATGTCAATTTGGCAAATGACACAGACATTCTTAATTCTTGCAGTAAAAGGATGGGACAGGGGACCAGTCCCATCACTTCATGCCACTTTTCCAAGTAAAGTGCCTTTCTTCTGAGGGACACTCAGCTTAAAGGAAGAGACCCTGGTATTCTGCTGGAACTGGAGGAGGCTTTCACAGTAATCCAGCCCGACCCCTTTATCCTACAGATGAGGGAACACAGGCCCTCATAAGAGGTGGAATGGCTTGCCTGAGGTAGTGTGCACAGCTCATCCTGGAGAAGGCCAGGCTCTGTATGGCCATGCCCTCCCCTAGGCCTAGGATTTCCCAGCTAAGGGCTGCTCCTCAGTGCTATTCACCTCCGTCTCCCCAGAACTCTTTCCTTCAAGGGGCTACAAACTCAAGGCCCCTTCCCAAGTCTTGGCACTGGGCCATTTTACCTCTAGGAAAAGTAAGCAACTTCCCCTGAAGGCATGCAATATCCTGGTGTCCACTCTTGAACGCTGAACAGCAGGGGCTTGAAAGAGTGATGCAGTTTGTACCCTCCTCACAAAAGACCGAGTGTGCTTCCACTACAATAACCCTCATTTCCCCCAATCCCCTTGCAAAGCTGTGCCTGCCAACTGGCAGCATAACACATAAGAAACAGCCAGCTCTGGGCTTGTGTTGAATTAACTTTTTTTGTAAAGTAGGCTAATAGTTTAGAAACTGTCATTATGCAATTAGTATTCATTTTGAAATGTGGTTATTTATGCTTGGGCTTGATCAATGTCACACTCTCTCCTTCTCAGATGTCACCACAATGCTATGATGCAGGGACACAAGGTGGAATGGTGTAAATTTAGTTTTCGAATGCACCCCAATGGTCTGTATGCCTCCCCATGCAAAGTGTAGATCTTAAGGAGACTGTCTGGATTCCCAACATTTACATGCAAATATTTTTAGACTCTAGGAATACAAAAAGACTCCTTCTGAAAGCACACTCTGTTGTGTTTCACAAACAAGGGGACACAAGTGAGGGAAGAGGCAGCATACAGGCATGGGCAGCATAATTGATACACCTGGATCCTTCTGAAGCACAGCTCCCAGACAAAAGTAGGGCCTCTGAGAACTACAGAGTTGGAGCACAGTTTTTCTATTTTTGGCCCAAGATTCTTGGTTTAGGGAAAAAAAAAAAAACAAGAGGTGGGGTAGGGACCAAAGAATAGTCTCTGACCAGTCCTCCATGAACAAGGGAGACAAAAAGATGAAGCAAAAAATGTTGTAAAGTCAGGAGTGGAAAAGCAGGCTGTGGGTACCCAGGGGAGAAAGAGACTCATGTCCATGGCTGGGCCCCAAGATGTCGCTGTGAGGTAGGAAGCTAGGTAGTGAGTGGCAACTGGGTAGTGTCCCTGGGAGGTAGCCAGTGGGGCACAAGGTGGTGGCCCTGGCCAGCTGGGCTTTACAAAAAAGAAGAAAGGAAAACAGAACTCAGGTTAATATGCAAATAAATCCCCTTCCATAGTCCCCATCTCAAGGTAAAGCAATGGGACTGCTCTCTCTCTTTTCTTTTCATCTCTACTTCCCCTTAAATGATCACCTTAAGGGGTATCCCCAGGTCCCCAGCCCCAACACCTCAAAAAACACTAAGGATTCTATTTCTTCAT